GCGCGCGGGGGCGGCGCGGGGGGCGGGCGGGGGCGGCAGGAAATGACGTTGCGAGATACACCGGTTACTTTGGCGCTCCCCCCTCCACCCTCCTCTCCCCCTCGTTCGCATCGTTTCGCCTGGACACCAATCCATACACCCCATTCTGCTTGGTGGAAGGGCTCTATTCTTGCAGACGCCCCCTTCCTCCTTGCCCCTCTCCAACACATCGTGTGGAGAAAAATAAACTAAAAAATATCAGGCGGAAGGAGAGTTTTCAACAACAAAAGAAGAAGATCGCTTCTCTCCTATTGGCTTGCGCTGCGAAAATGTGCCCTGCCTGAACGGCTGCTCCATTCGCATGTAGGGGACCTTCAACAATCAATCTGGGCTTCGGGGCATGCAGTTGTCCGTGTGTGGTTGTGACGTTCCAGGTTGCCGCGACCGGGGTGTGCGTTGCACGCAGAGTTAGCATGTGTATGTCGGCCTGTGCATCATGTTGACGAGATTTCCGTATCGCTTGTCTCTATTTTCCTTTTATTTTCCTGTCTCCTTTGCTATGTCTGTGTTTATTTGGATTAGCCTCTCGCTTTCACTGTTGTTCTACCTGTGTCTCCACGATCGTTCCAGTGATCTCCATCCCTAAATGATTGTGCTTTCTCCCCACTTCGCTAAACTGTCACTGTGGCTAGGACAAATCTTTTGGTCATTCCAGAAGTGAAAGTAATGATAGTTTCAAATGATGCGACCCACTCTATTTCCTCTGTACGTCCCATCTCGGGTTACTCGAGTCATGGATGTGTAGAGTAGAGATCGGACGTATGTACGTAGCGTAACTTTTAAATGTATGCTGGTAACCTTGAAATACCTGCAAATCTACCCTGACCAATAACAGAGTTCCGTAAAGAAATGTAACAGACTAAATCCATGTCTAACTGATGTGTTTGTTGCTTTTTTTGTCACAGAGCATACCATTCCTCGCCACCAGCCCGGGCAAGGACCGCGTCGTCCTGGTCTACAGCGACAAGATAGAAGTTAGAGCTAAGGTAAGCTACCCGCGTGTTTTCAATTTTGTTTTACATAACTCGCCGTGCAGGCCGTGCTCGGCACATTTTTCCAAGAGCTGAAAAGTATTTATAAAATAACAATTTT